TAGCTTGGCTCAAAGGCTCCTATTGTCTTCAATTGATTTTTAATCCGCTGGGTCTCTGCCGATATCTTTTACTTTTCAACTATTCAGTCGGATAAATCGCGTTATTTGTCCCGCGGTCATTACATTCAGTGGGCAGCGTTTAAGGTGAAAAATTCGGAGTTTTATAAAGAGCTCTGAAATTTCTCGACATTTCGGGAAATTCAATTAACCTTCCCATCCCCAAATTAAATTCACTATATTCCCCTACGACTGAAAATGTTCCTCTTATCTAATTCTAATAAACTGTTTAATTTGTGGCAGCCGCCGAGGCTGGTCCTTGCGAGAAGCTCTTGGCTTCTCTCAGGATACACCCTGGATATTCGAGAGGACGATACGCGTTCTACCTCCGGGAAATCAATTCGCGTCTCCCACCCCCCTTCGCGAAACAGGCCGTTCAAATATAGCTCTACATCTATATACTCTGCTTACTCGGCTCGCAGATTATCCTTTGCAATGATCCTTGCTGGCATCCCGGCGAGACGAGTACACTAGTGTGTCGTAATACTGACAGTAAAGAGAATAATCGCTATCAACGTTAAAAATTAAGCTCACCCCCTCAATTCTCCCCCCCCCCCCTTACCACAGCTCGATCGTCTAAGTTATAATCACGATAATAAACTACATATAACACTTATCCCCTACTCTATCTTTATTGTTGCCGTCGCTCTCTCGTGTGTGTCTGTGTGTGTGAGTGTGGTACCACCTGCGCGAAAGTTCCTCCGGATTTCGTACCCCCGATTCGGGCGTTCCCGTAATATAAACTAATCCCAAGGTAACCGAGGATAAATAAATTGTGGTACTGCGTCGCGTCCCTCGGAGGGTAGAAATCTCCGAATGCTAACGGAGATAACGAGCCTCAAACCTTTCCTGTTCTCGGAGGGAAACGCGCGTGTTTACGGATAAACCAACAGTCAAGTCATATACCGGATGAGAGCGGGATGAAACTCTGGTAAACGCGATCGCGATATGAGAAATGTAGGGAGAGCGATCAGATGCTCGCTCGCGAGTGAACTCGCGGTAGGCGGCTAAAGAGTCAAGTTTCATGAATTTAGGACCTCGGCCTATTGAATCCGCATCCGTTTCACGAGAGGCCGCCTTGCTCTTGCAATTTATACAAATGGGATCCGCGAGGGTTGTTGGCCGTACGAGCTAAATTTAGAATAGCCGGGTGGTAGAAGTTCCAGGAGCGCGAGGACACGTGAGAAAGTGTCGCTCGTCCGGATGTGCGGGGGACCCGAGAAACCGCGTGGTTTTCCGGGCGGATCCGTTTTCGCTCCCGGGAGATGAATCGCGACGAGCGACGATCACTGACACCGATTGTGCGCCCGGGAGAGTCTCGGGGACGGTCTCGAGGAGCCTCCCCGTGTTGTATATAAAACGGTATAAAACGCTTAATACATTAACGTACCGAGGCAGCTGATCCGGCTTGCGTCGAGCGTTAACGGGGAATCGCCCCCGTTACGGCCCCGAAACGAGGCCGGATCGCAGAAAGACGTCGCGAACGACGTCAACGGCGCGATTCCGCGATTGCGTAACCCTTTAACCGGTGTCTGCGTGCAGTGTTCACGATGTAAGTTAGGTATTATAAAATATATAAATAAATGCAACAACGTATGCCCTGCATATATCTCGCTAATTGAACTTGGAGATTTTTTACATCGCATTTAGGTGGAATATCCAGATTCAACATGTTGTCCGCCCAGCGATTCTTCGATGGTTTGCCGTGTACGCCACCCTGTAAAATTTTCATCGTCTCCGTCCCTCATAAATATATAAAAATACGACAAGATTAATAAAATACTGTGTGATATGATTAAGCGAGACTTTAGTCTCACGAGTTTACATTTTCTGCTACTATCTAGCCATTTATGACATTTATGTCGTTGAGAATTTTATATTTCATGGTATTTACTTTTTATAAGCGTCGTAAAAAATTTCGATCATGTAGAACGATCGTCGTGGCAGTCAACGTGTTAAACACCTAAACGGTGTGCGTCGTGAATTATTTTTCGATCCTCGAATCTCTTCGAATAGAATCCTTCAGTCGCCGTCGAACGGAACTTTAGAAGCTGTTTTGCCGGTTAAAGGGTTAGCTGAAACTTACGCCAGAGTACATATATAAATAACGTAACTAGCTAAATAAATATAAACTTCCAATATATGTACAAAGAACAGCGGCGATAAGCGCGTTACAAAAGAAAGGACAATGGAACGCCAGTGATAACGGAACGCCGGTAATGAAGCTATATCATCACGCACGCAAGAAGGAAGACTGCGCAATTCCATCTCTCCACTCTTTTCGCCCTGCGGAACAGTCGGAATGCCGGGATAACGAAATCGATCGTCGATTGTGGAAAGCAAATGTAGACGCCGGAAGTGTTTAAATTATTTGTACACAGAGAAATTTAGGTGACACGTGCACAGCGGTTATACATTTTTATAATTCCGTCCCCTCGTCCACTTGAGTAAACGCCTGCGAGAGATTGAATTAAATTTGTCCCACTATTGGAGTTGGCAATCGCACTCTACGCTGGTATAAAAAAAATTTTTTTGCGAAAATCTGATGTATATACTAAAAGATTATCAGGATTACATCCTTGAATTTCCAGACACTTGGCATTTGAATAGTTTAACTTGTACACATTTTTACATTGGATTCTCAATCTGAATTTTTTATATTAGTCTCAAGGCTAATTACTGAATATACTTTCTATGAATAGCCTACAAAGGAAATATATAGATTCTCCAACGAATATATCTCTGCTAAATATGTCACTTACATTATTTGGAACAAACGTGAAATGTTACATGAAGAGGAACAGGATGTTTATTACAAAATTTGACTACTAAATTATTTTAAATTTGAATTTTTATATTTAAATTTTATCGAACTTTCTTGTCAAACGTAATTTCGATACACGTTTCAAATGAATAATCTCTGAATCCACAGACTCTCAAAATCAATTCTAAAGAATGTAAGATTTAAAGAATCCAGGAATTCGAGGATTAAACAGATCTCCGACTGCTACGTATCCTTCATATCGTCAATTCAGCAAGAAGATAAGCGCCGAGTTGTGCGAGGGTCCTCGTCCTTTTGATTACATTAGACCTTAATATATTTATTTAAAACAAAAACCCCACTGAGGCTTCGAGAATTTCTCATTCTTTGCACCAAACAAATTTGTAATTCAAGAAATTCTAAATTTCGAAAGAAACTAGGTTTCCCCCAAAGAGACTTAGGCCCGGTTTCACCAACGTTGTTTAACTTTAAGCTTAGCTTAATTCGTTGTTTGTTCAACTGTTACTTTAGAAAGAGACAGACATGAATTAAACTAAGATTAAAGTTAAGCGACGTTGGTGAAACCAGGCCTAAAAGACTTAAAAACAGCCTATCAAAGAGATTAGAATCCAAAACGTCAAGATCGCAAGATGCAAAGAATCCGAAACTTCGAGGATAAAAAATTTCCGATTGTTACATAATTTCTCAGTCATTTTTTGACACTCCTTTCAGATCCTTTCACGCAACGCGTTAATCGATGAAAGGAATTGATTCGCGGTCTCCTCATTTTGAGAGAAATAAATATTACAAAATATAATACTAAAAACTTTCAACTTCGCAGAAAGCACTGCATCGAAAAACATTGCATACGCAAAGGATCGAGCTCAATGGTCAGCCCGAATCTGCGAAAACACCTCTTCGTCCCTCCTGTCCTCTCGATACCGTTCCTGCCCACGGAATATTTTCCAATTTTTACATCTTATCAAAAGTTCACTCGTCCGACGATAAAAAAAAACTTGTACAAAGGTCCCTACGTCTTTAACGTTTCCATCGAACTTATCACGAGTAGCAAATTCACGCTTCGCACCTCTGACTCGCACTGCCAACGTCGATGCAGTCGAAAGCAGTTGCGCCTCGCGCAAATTTCCATTTAGGCCTGCTAGGCCTGTTAAACAATACGTCGTTTGTCGCTGTCGGACGTCGAGACGTAGCCGATGGTCCAATGAGAAAACTTCTTTCCGGGCTACGTCCCGACGTTCGACAGCGACATACGACGTATTGTATAATAGGCCTTAGACGTTCTCCGAACCGCATGCCGCATGTAGTCTGCCAGCTACAGGATACTGGAGAGGCAGTCGAGCGGATCTGGCGCGTGGATCGCGACAAAATCGCGCGTTTCGGCACGGAGGTTCGCGATTTTAACGAAATTCCCTTCCCTAATTTAAGATCGAGCTTCTTCGACCGCAGATCGGGAGATCCAAAGTTGAAGGGTCCATAATACTCCGAGTTGCAAACTCGGGGCGAGAATCAAGCTTCCGGGAATCCAGGAAGATCTCGGAACTGACGTTCGATTCCATTTTTGCGCTCCCGCGGCTTCTGCCTCGCGTCGCGACGCCGCGACGTTAAATCGAATTTGCTTTCCAATCTCGACGCGATTCGCGGGAAAATCGATTGCAACGTGATAACGTCACAAAGTCGCGACGCGCCTTCGTCGTGTTTCTTATAATTCGCGCCTCCCCAGATCGAAGAAGACCGACCGGGTCTCTCGAGTTTCGCTTCGAGTTTCGCGACCGAAAAAGAGCTCCGCGATTTTTCCGCTCTTATCAGGAACAACGATCTTTCGCGGACCTAAACGTCCTAAAGGCCCCGGGGGCTTCGGATCGTCGGCGTCGACATCACCTCGCGTTTCTTTTTTTTAAACATCGGCGTCGCAAACGAAAGCTCCCCTCTCGCAAGATTCTCGGGAACGGACCCCGAGACCTCTGAGGCTGCTGGTGAAACAAGTCCAGTCGCCGAGGTCGAGGTCGCCCCGCGATCCTTCCGCCAAGTCGACGTGAAAAAAGCCTCCTCCTGCGGAGCTCCTGCCTCGGGATTCGAAGACCGGCAATCGAACTGATGTAGAAGTCGCTCGGGGAGTTTCCCCCCGTGGGAACCTCGGCGGTTCAGACGAGCCTCGCGCTAAGGGTCGCGTCCCTTACACGAGGACCTCCAGACTCTCGCGCGAGCGTGCCTTTTGCTGTCCGCACTTGCCGTTGGCCTGCACTATCATCGCGACCGACTGGCAGCCGGTCTCGGACGCCACCGGCCGCATCGCCGGCATCGCCAGCCTCAGTTTGTACCAGAACTTGCGGCCGCAACTACCGGGTGCGGTGCCGTTGCCGCCGTCGCTGCCACCGCCGCCGCCACCGCCGCCGCCGTCCTGCCAGGACAGGATCGTCAGCCGGTCGAAGGAGATGCTGTCGGCGTCGCGGCGGTCGCGCCGCGATCGCTTCGCGATCGTCGCCGTCGTGCTCGGCAGTCTCTTCAGTGTGACGACGATCGTCCGGGTCGGCAGCGAGGACAGCTGCTTCAGCACCGCGCCGACGCTCGCGTCCGTCCAGATGTTGTCCAGGGAGGCTGGGCTGAGCACGACGATGACTCGCCGGGCCGTGTTGGCGTGAGGACTGATCTCCAGGCTCCCTGCGAAGCACCAGAGAGTATTTCAAACTTACGGTAGGACGAACCTCTTTCTAACATTGTATTCTTATGTTCTCAGCGTGCGTGTGCGTGTGTGTGTGTGTGTGTGTGTGTGTATTTAATATTTAAAGAATTATTAATAGAGAGGTCACGCTCGTTTTAAGCGAGGCTGTGCGAGAAGGTCGAAGAGATAAGATGAGCAATCAATATTAAAGCGATATCTAATTAATCTCAATAGTCGAGGGAAAACGTTGAGTACTTCGAGTGTACTTTTTCTAGCGGAGAGAGAGAGAGAGAGAGAGAGAGAGAGAGAGAGAGAGAGAGAGAGAGAGAGAGAGAGAGAGAGAGAGAGAGAGAGAAGTAATTATAAGCGCAACGCCACTTTAAAATAAAAAGTGTATGTCATTCACTGATACGAGTCGCAACAGCAAAGTTGTACATCGCTAACTATATACATTAAGCTGTAACAATACACAAATGTATACGATTATTATAGACTAATTATGCAAAATCGAAACTATTGTATTAAACATACATACTTTATATTTTATATTTAAAAAAAAGGGTATTTATTAAAATAAATATATAGAATACTGAAAGTCTTCCTTTTAAATATGAACGCACAAAATTTTATACGTATGGTTTTGTCTCTAACACTTATTCGAATGCTCGTTGGAATCATTTAAATAAATAAAATAAAAGCACAGAACAGATGATTCATTTTGCACAAGTAGCAAATAACAAAAATGTACGACACTTACCTTACGATTTCTCTGCCGTTGCCCGATGCCGCTTAGGCCTGCTTCTCCTCTGAGATTTTCTTGTTGCACTTACACTCACAGCACTCACTCGCGAAAATCGATCGCGCGAAATTTCGGACACTCCCGTACGCGATGTAAAATACCGTGAAATGCAGTAAGCGACGTTCTTTACTTCCCGCTCGTTCGAATTGCGAAGAACGACAGAGCGAATTACGCCGTGAACGCCGAAGTCGCACAAATTTCTCTCCCCGAAAATGGAACAGATTACACGAAATCGATAGATAGTTAAAAGAGCGGTGCGTAAACGAGATGTAACCGCGACAAAGTACCACGGTTTACATTCATGTTTTAGATGAGTTTGTCTCGTGAAATATCTATATACACGTTGATAAAGAACCGTCGCTTCAACATGCAATTCGTTTCTCATTACAAGTTTTAGAATCTTAATAATTAATCGAGTAATGTTACTTGTCACTGATAAAGGTGTACAAA